CTCAGCCTTCCTGCAGACCTGTGAGTATAATATTAGCTGCATTTTAACATAGTTCCTGTTCACAGTACAGCCTACTGAGTATAAATACAGACAGCTCTAATCCTGTCCTGATCCCCGAAATGCTGGTGAAATAGAAATTACTCTTCTGGAGCACGTGGATTCTTCTTAAAATTTAATATACTTTAATTATACATATAATACATCTCTCTGTATTTTTCGGGTCATTAAACCTCAGAGAAGAAAAATTTTCCAACACAACTCTGTTCCAGTTACTAATTAAAGCAATTTTTACACCTTCCTGAGACACACTGCTAAGGACGATTTATGATGGTGGCAAACAGCAGGAGGTCAATGCCAAAGTTAACAGCTGGGCTTATTGCAGTCACTTCTGAGATGTACTCATGTCATCAAGCAGCTGCTATGCACCAGTAAAGACTGAGAACCCACAAACAAGTCTGCTATCTTTGCAGCATTAAATGCAAGGGAGAGCCAAACTGTGCTAAGAAAACCTTAAATATCCAAAGGCTGAAAGGAGAAAAAAAAAAAAAAAAAAAACAAAACAGATCACAAACAGCCTGTTCAGCTGAATTAATGGGGAGAATCTCATCTGCACTGGTGGACACAACGTATGCGAATCCCATCCATCAATGATGGGTCACCAACAAGGCAGGCGATGACCGTAAAGCAAGTGGTAATGTCAATATTCAGGGAGTTGAGGGTGGAATTATTTAGTTAATAGAAACAGCTTCCATATACACTGTGAACAGAGTTGTGTTTATATATCCATGTCCTTAAGTAGAGCTCTTGCAACATCTCCCCCAGCCACTTAGAAGGAGCAGCAGGGAAACCACAGGGAGCAGAGGGATGGGAGGCCTTGCTCCATAGCAGAACACAGCAGGTCAGAATAAGGCTAACAGCTCAGGGGAGAACAACAGCATCCACAGATGGATGATGGGCTAAAACAGAGCACCACATAGCATACAGTATGGGTATCCATGTCATAAACACTCACATACTTGTGAATACGAAGCCAAATCCAGCAAAATTGTCTTCCATAGCACCAGTACACAGCAAAATCCAGGGCAGGTTTTGTGGTTTTTACTACACATTTCCATCTTCTAAATAGGAATGAGATGAGCAGGGGAATTGCCATTTAATGTTTCGTTTTCTAAAATAAATATTTTTTTCCTCTGTAAATGAGTGGAATAAATGAAGACATTACAGCCTGAAGCTGCTCATGACTGCCAAGATGCTGAAAATTACCATGCCCACAGAAGAGCTGAGGGAATGAACAATCCCTCCCACTCCAAAGGCAGTGAGCAGGCTTCGTTTAGCAGCACGGATGGAAGATGAGAGCTGTGCTGCTCGACTCCCAGGCACAGGTCAGGGGGCATTTCCACATTCCTGTTATTTTAGCTGACCCGTGCATGGACTGCTCTGTGCTAAATACCTTAAACTACCCCAGGCAGCTCCAGAGCAGGGCAGCTGGGCAGGCTCTTCCATTTTCTTTTTCTTTGCAACCCACCACAAGAAATAAAGTAATGCATAGTTAACAGAGAGACCCTCACAAGTATGCTTCCTTTCACTGGAGAATTATTAAATAAAAGCAAAAAAGACAAGCCACCAAAAGATGACAACCCCCTCAAGTATCTCCTCAGCAGGCTTTGCTGATAACCACAAGCAGAACTGAACTGCTCTTTGCAATACCTCTCACCCTTAAGACACCACAGGAAAAGGCAATTGCAGACACAACCACAGGGACCACTGAAAAGCAGCAGTGTGCTGTGGCTGGAAGGCTGCAGACAGCAAACCATCCTGCTGAGCTGCAGCAGCATTCCTGGCCGCTGATGCCTCAGACGGAAGTGATTCTGGTTCAAATGCTTCCTTTATCACTGATAACTGCAATCCTACCTCTTGCAATGCCAGGGCTTAACAGATAAGGAGGAGAGGATCTTCCAGGCACCGTAATCCAGTCCTGTTCTGACAGGGTTTTATTTTTAGAAGGCAGCTACATAAACACAACCACAGCAGAACAGAGACGGTGCTGTCTGAGGGGTAAACCTGTGCTAAAGGCAAGATAGCTGCAGCAATAGGAATGTGCATGGCAGCGCTTTCTCTCCCTTAGCAATGTGTTCTTCAGTGAGCAAATAAAATCACCCGGAAAGTACAGAGTGCATCATCTCTCCATATTCCATTACTAAAACTTCCTCAAGTGAAGATAAGTTCTGTTTTTTTTCCAAGTCTTGATTTCTGGCAGAAAGTTAAGACACTTACAGAATGCCTAATGACTATTTCTCCTTATCACATTAATGGCACAGAGATGGATTTGAAGTGTGGACCATCGGGTGGATAAGGAACTGCCTGAATGGCCCCATGCCCAGAACAGTGTGCCCATAGGAGCCTAATGAGGTTCAAGAAGGCCCAGTGTTGCACACTGGGCTGAGGGAACTTGGGGCTGTGGCAGTGGATCCAGAGGAGGCCATGGAGATGCTTCAAATCTATCTGAAGCACCCCTCCTGCAATGAAAGGCTGAGGGAGATGGGGCTGTTGAGCTGTTAGCATGTTTTGTTAAACCATTCTGTGATTCTATGATAAGAAAAATCACATTTGCATTATGGGAATTGCTCCACTGTAAGAATCACCTTACTATGTACAGCTTGACAAATACAGAGGTTCTGTTAAATAGCTCAGCTTGTACATATTATCAAGCACACTAAGAGGCAGTGAGATTGTATGGCACAACCATTGGAACTGAGATATTCCAATTCCATGCGAACAAGTTAACTGGAAGAACTTCACACGCAAAACACAAAACCTGGAAGCTGCAATTATCCTGGGCTGAGCAGTAGGATGCTCTGTATAGCAATACCAGCAGAAGCAACATTTACTTTGTATATTAATGAATTGAATGTTGATGCTCTAGAGGCAGGACATTGGCTAAGCACAAGGGGAAGGCAGCAGAGCAGAAGAGCAAAGGAAGGGAGCAGGGCCCATCCCACCTCCTCTGGGGAAGCAGCACAGAGGGCTGAGCCACAGCTGCTAACAAAGCCCTTAGATTCTTACCCAATATTAGGCTGAAATAAATGAATCATCATAAAATGGAGAAATCAGTGATGTAGACTTAGTTTAAAAAAAAAAAAAAAAAAAAAAAAAGGCAGAAATAAATGTAATGTATTACAGGAAAATAGCAGTGACTTTCTGGCACTGATGCCTTCTGTAGAACCCATCCTTTAACTGCAGCTTTGACAGTAGCCTCCTTTGTGATGAGCACAGCCTTTCCCTGGTAACACCAGCAATTTCCTCCCCATGCAGCATGCCTTGCTGGCCAGACAGAGATAAAGTTAAAACGTGGCTGTTGGAAGCAGCATACCAGAACATCTCTGAAGAGAAAAGCATCCCAAAACGCATCTTGTTGTGTTAGCACAGTGTTAGGAGGAGAACAAATCTGTCTTTATACATCTCAGAGAGTTAATTTAAAACCATCTCATGAGGTGAAATGCCAAGATATTAATACCAATTGCAGCATGAGACCATATTACAAGTGACATAAACGTTACAAAACAATCTGAAGTTCGGCCAGGCTGTTAATAGATAGCATTACACAATTACTGACACAGCCAGATAATAGTGCATTTCTACTATGCAAATTTTTAACAGCAAATAGATTTTGAAAGGAGTTTACACCCACGATCCCCTCAGATGCAACTTGGTAACTCGCTATTAGGTGCCAAGCTGTCAGTCACAAATCAGTGCAGCCTACAAAGGAGCCACCAACAAAAGCCACTTGATGAAAATGCATGAGTCCCAAAGGAACCTATTTTTAAGCCTGTAAACTAATACTGTTGTATTAATGGCTTTTATTTTGTCATTAATTCTGCTTTTCTCCTATTAAGGCAATACCGTAATGCCTTATTTGTTCATTTCTCAGGAGCAAAGCTCAGCTCTTCAGATAATTTTATCCATATTACAGAGCTACTACACCGCAGGAATCTTGCTTAGAAAGAGGCTTGGAGTTGGCATGTAGAGCCTGATTGACTGTGCTTGAGCACATCTGGCCTCAGGTACACAAACAGCTGTGTGTATTTGGCTTTGGTCCTGCATAGATGGCTGTGATGGTTTTTCAGAGGCAGCTGAGCACCTCCAGATGCTGTTAGCACCATGCCCCCCACTGCTGCTGCCCATACAGACATGGAGCAAACAGCTCAGGGCCCGACAAGACTGAGCAACCAGGAGAAATTTCACAGAGATGGGAAAAAAAAGAAAAAAAAAGGAATATATAACTGTTATAACTCTGTTTGCAAAGCCACCAAGTACAGGAACATGAAAGGCTGTAAATAATTCACCATATTAGAGAAAATGTTTCACAAATTAAAAGGTTGTAACCTCTTTTTGGCAACAAAGCTGGCAGATGCTGGAGGCATTCCTGTTTCAGAAAATGCAGAGCGTGGTGTGCCCTATTTATGAGGAAATAGCAGCGACTTTTCGGTTCTCAATCCTCCAAGGAATTGCTCAATGAAAAATGCATCTGCCTGTATTTCTGATGGATGGACCACAAAGGAATAAAGCTTGCACACTTTAGAAATGCAGCTCAGAAACTGAGTAGCAGCTCCCTGCATTCTGATGACACAGCTGCTGCTGTGCACAGCACAGAGCTGAGATAGCATGGAGAGGATGGGTAAATTGGAATTAAGAGACTGTATTTACATAAATACATGCACACAGTTGTTTGAAGAACACACACAAGCTAAAGACATGCATGCACTTATCACAGACGGTTCCATAATGAATGATGCAGACTTAAAAGTGTGACATCAGTCAAATGCAGCCTCAGAGGGGTGACCGCATGGCTGGGGACAGAACACAGAAGCAATTCCAAACAAAGAGAGCAGATTGCTTTAACTTCCTATTACTAAACATTCTGCCATGAACTAAAGAAACCTCACTGGAGCCGCCCTCATCAGGTCAGCTGGTAACTGAACAAACATGGAAAAGAAACTCACCTGTATGTTGCCAAAGTCCACGTTTTCATAATGGAAATGTGCACATTCAGCCATCTTCGGGAAATGACCCTTTGTAAAGGATAACCTGAAGCACACCAAAAGCACATCATAAGATGCAAAACCACCAAACCTAAGCTCAGCATCAAGATCTGTTATAAAACCCAGTTACTCATACAAAATAAGAGCTTCCTCACCCTAAAGCCAAGGGAGCAGAGGGGTCTGTTGATGTGATGCACCGAAACAGTGGAGAAAGGAATTGAGCGAGAAAGGAAAACTGAATTGCAAAATGGCTTTTATCATTGCATCCTTAAAAACCACGTGGCATTTCATCAACACCAAGGCCCACAGCTTTAAGGAACGGTGCAGGGACAAGCAGCTCTACCTTAACAAATGCATTTTTGCAGTGCAAATAAGCAGCCTTACACGAGACACATAGGAAAGTAGAACGTTACCTGTGAAAGGCATCACAGCCCATCAGTCCCGGGTTGATGTATCTGAGGGTGCAGAACAAATGCTATTTATCCTCTGCTTTTTTAAAATTCAAAAGTGAGGCATAATTATTCCCAAGTGACTCCAGCTACAGCGATGGCTGACGGGGAGATCCTCTGGCTCTGCAGCATGCTCTGCTTCTGCTGAAGCTATTATAGACTCCTATAGATAACTCTGGTGGTGAGCCAATGAGATTGTCATTATCTAGCTCTCTCTTCCCACGGGAATATAAGTGGGAAGTGAGATACAGCATCTGGCTGCTCAGCACTAGAACAAAGAGCCATTTCCCTCGCAGCATCAGAGCTCTACGGAGAGGTAATGTGAATGCACAGAGCTATCGATACTGGGGAGTTCTGGTCCTCAAGTCCTTAGCAAAGACAAGTCAAGTAATATTGATTACTTTTGAGCCTCTTTACAGGTTAGGGGTTTGAAACCTCAGCTACAAACATAATAAGTGGGTTTACATCATCTGGGAGAGAGTGAGAGAGAGCAAAGGAGGCTCACAGGGAAAAGAAAGAGAATCAGAAGGAAAAAAAAACCAAACACTGACAGAAAAACTGTGCAAAACCCATTCAGGAAAGAGGCACAAGGCAGGAGGTGGAAAAAGGGAAAGACCAGAACATCAAATAAATAAATAAATAAATAAATAAATATATACACACACACACACACCACCCTAACATACGTATACACATAAATGCACACATACGTATGTATATATGCACACACACACATATACATACATTTAAATGGATCAATTTCAGAGAGGAATCCCAGAAGTTTAAGAATACAGTAACACTGAAGTGAAAGAGTCTGACAGGCTTTGCCTCCACAGCATGAAGCAGGCAAGGGACCTAAGGAAACCTCTGATCCCCACTTCCACGCTATGTTCACTATAACTTTGCTTTGCAAGGATTTTGGTTGCTCCCAAAATGTGAAGGCATTAACAAGAACTGTCACTGACTGCCCTGGATGTATTCCAATGCAAGAGCTCAAATCCAGGATGTCACAGCCAGAAGCCCAGCACAGATAGGAAAAATCAAACAACACTGCTCTTACTTTTTCACATTCTTCACTTTCATACTTGCTGTGCTGCCGCAGGTCCGGAGCGGTAACTCCCCTGTGATGTCAGGGATATCTGCACCACGTGCCTGCAAAACAAGCAAAGGAAAGGAAAGTAAGGATTGCACGGTGTGGATTGCTGTTTTCTCCATATACAATCATAGCTCTTTGGTGATAAAAGCTGTATTTTTACCTTTTTAATATGGGGGGAGGGAAATGAAAAGTGAACCATTGGTGCTGACTTAGCATCTGATTACCTCCTAAACTGTTCTGTAGAGCATTACTAATAACCCTGAGATCCAATATTTTGTTCATTACTTCTCCTGGTTTCTAAGTAGAGATTTTCAGAGGTCGAATCCAACAAACACTCGCAAACTCCATACTCAGACACCGGTGCAGCATTCATGCACAGACCCTGGAAGCAGCTGGATAGTTCATGCAGCACAAAACCATGTTAATGACAGAGCTGCTCATCCGTGGGAGGTGAGCTTTCACAAAGACACTTGAAGCTATTGTTGTAAGCACACGAACCTATTAAAATGTCTTTAATTGCTGACATTCATTTAGTTCAGTAAGACCAGAGCCCCACGCTCTCCTTTTCCATTTGCATTACCCATCTTTGCACCCGCCCCCCTCCTCCTGCAGCACCATCCCTGGGGAAGCACTGAGCTCTGTGTGCTGCTGCTGGAGCAGCTCTGAGCTCCAAAGGCTGAGAGGTGGCTCTCATCAATGGAACAGCAATTGAATGAGGAGATCAGTACAGACTTCACAGAGCAAGGGGAGCAAACTCTGCTCCATGATGTTGGCTCCTTACTGATGCAGATGAGCCCAGCAGAACGAGCACAGGCTGGATCAGAGAAAGATGTCCGTTCTGCTTTATGCAATACGTTGCAAAATGTGAATGATGCTCAAAATAACAAATGTTCAAGCAAGAGGAAGGGACTCAGTTCAGGATTCCCTCTCTTGGAGGCCCAGAATCAATAAGTATTGCACAAACTCATTTTCTAATGACAGGAGGAGGCAGAACTCCCTGGAGCAGCAGATCAGCACAAGTGCTTTTGCACAAGTCCAGCCAAAGCTCCCTGATCAGAAGCCATCAATTTGGCAGCAGCCATGCCCCCAGAACACAGCAGTGTCAGGCACAGCACAGCCTGGTGTTGGACGCAAAGCTTCAGTCTGATGTTGCAACCACACAGTCAGGAGAATCTTCCCTGTCCCCATCCCTGAAGCTCTTGTTCAGTTTGACAGGGTCCAAACTCACACGTGCACCATTCACCATTCCTACCCTCATCAACAAACTGCAGCAGAGGCAGAAGGAGTGACTCAACTTCCAGCACCAGGAGGTACACAGCTATAGCATCCCCAGGGCTGCTCTCACAGCTGCCATGAGCAGGCTCAGGGTCAGATCCCAGCACCAGGGTCCGTCTCTGCTTCCACTCAGCCCTGCCTTGCAGTCCGTCCACAGCTGCAGACTGTGAGCACTCACTCAGAAAACAGCAGGACAGTATCTACAGACCTGAAGAAACCTCTGCCAGGCTGCCTGACAGCCACGACGTGCACAGTTACTTCAATATCTCACAGGACGCTCAAAGAATCTCATTGTGATTTTCAGCATTAAGACGATCACCAATTTCATTTAAACCTTATGCATCTTTTACATGAGAAAATCACTAATTACAGTGATAAACGCACCATTCCTGTAAGCTGCTTTTAGGCAAAGCTGGATGGTGCTCGACTTCATTTTCTAAAGAACAGAAATTTTGCAGGAAGAAAAATAATTTCTTCTTCAGAATCTGTGAGAATATGAAAACAGTGAAACAAATCCGACAGAACCACGTGGCCCCCAGGCAGCCTGCAGTGAGCAGAGCCTTGCTGCTGACTCAGAGCAGCGTAGGCAAAACTCACACCTCCAGGAGATGTAAATGCCAGCAGCTCTGCTCCGGGTTCTGCTCTCCTCTCCTTCCCAGCTGAGCCCAACCTTGCTGGTTGCCTTCCCATTTCCAGCATCATGCGCCACTGACATGGACCACAACGAGATGCCACACACTAATTAACTTCGGGGGCTTTTCCAATTAGATTTGAGCTCTCTGGGCTGTGCAGCTGAACATAATCTCTCCGAAGGCTCACAGCTGAGGAAAATGGGCAGAATGGTGATCCTGTGTAAGCCAAGAGCTTTAGTATGAGGCACAAACAGCAGAAAAGGAAAGGTGATTAGATAATGAAGAAAGAAATCTATTGCAATTTTATAAACCCCACTTCTCCTAACTGAAATGCAATTACTTTCCATTTAAACCACAGGAAGCCAGCTACAGCATAATCACACTTCATTCACCATTAGTTTTACCTGCTTTCATCTCAAGTCTGGCACTCAGGAGATCGCCCCACATCACCTCTCTCTCAAAACACAAACAAAACACTCCACAGTGAGATTTGTTATCTCCCGTGCTTTGTGTCACAGCAATTTCCTTCTAAAAATCATTTGGAAACAGTTTGAATTATTTACACCTGAAAATTAGCTGGCTAACATCACAGGTTGGCTTCTCACTCCTTTCTCTTCCATGCATCCCTGTTCCGTGAAAGCTCAGTAATTGCAGAGTAAATCTGTTCGTGCAAATTGTTTAGTCTGATTCTCACAGCTTAATGTCACTGCTGCACCAATCAATCTGCTTTGGTCCCAGACTTGGTAAACAAATTAGGCCTTGATCCAGAACACAGCCTGCTGGCTTCGTGTGCATCCTCAGGCTGCTGTGTTTGGTTGGAAGTTTCCCAGCTCTGCTGCAATGCTCCAAGCTGGGATGGTCCCACTGCAGCCTTTGTGCAATAGAGCAGCACAGACTGTGGGGCAGGTGGGTATCACTGAAAGTTCCAAGCAGTTCTGAGACAACGCCTGTCTGTCTGTCCATCCTTCTGGTGGATGGGATGCCAGGTTCAGGTCACTACAGCCATGTGAGCACTGGGAGTCACCTGTGCCACTTCTGAGTGCTGCTGCTGAACCTCCCAGGGACACAGGCTGCCAAGTTTGAGTTTGCAGCCTTTTATCACCTCGACTTGAAGAACTTCATCTTTGCTCTCTCTGGCACAAAACCTCAGTCATAAATAATTTATTTCTAACAACTCCACAGCGAAACATGAAGGGATTTTCTCCGAAAAGTCTCACTGCATTCATCAGCCAACACATCAGCCCTCCTCCCTCACTTCCAGAATTGTAACACAGTGTGAAAGCACACGTGAAACTGAAGCACTCCAGTGAGTACTTGGGTGTCCTCAGCAGGGAAGAACCCCGAGCTGGGACAAAACCCCCAGCTGCAGGCTCACACCAGGACACACGTCCCCTTAGCCAAGGTTACCACAAAGCCACAGTAAGTACTGGATAAGCATTAGCATTTATGCATCCCCCCATCACCAGTCTCTCATCCGAACCAGTCTGAAGAAACCAGACTGCTCTGGGTTCCTTGAGTACATGGCCTTGTTTCTAACAGTGGCAGAGCTGAATCAAAATGCTGGAGCTGCTCTCCATGGCAGTCTGCCCTTTACATCATTTTCACTTCCCCTTGCTTTTCCTTCTAAAAAAATCAAACCAAAGGACCACAGCCAGAACTTACCAAAAAGGCAGCCTTTGTCACTTTCACTTCCTCACTGAAGAGCAGCAGGAAACTGCTGCTGCAGCACCAGTCATCACCCAAGCAGCAAGTGATGCTCTACTTAATTGGAGCAACTGCAGCCACCAACAGGCTCGAGGAGAGCAACTTCTTTCTACTCTTACTTGGAACAGCCATACAGGATCTCCACAATAAATAAACATGCTTTAATACATTGCAGCTGAGTTCTTCATAACTGCCCAGGATACCTGGATGTATTTAAGGCAAATAAGCACCTGGTTTGCGTACCCAGGTCTGGCAATCTCACTTTAAACAAAAATACCTGCAGTTTTAATGAAGAAACAGAAAGTAATAATTATCCTCCCAACTCCACATCTCAAAACCGAGCTGAAGAATGAGCATCCATGCTATTCAGGGGCTGAGCAGCAGAGAGCAGCACTGGCACATGTAATACTGGAAACCAAGGGCAGTCTGCTGTGTGGCCAAGAGTCCCCATCCCCAACTGCAGGAGATGCCCAGTAGGGAAACTCTGAATCCTGGCTGCGCTCATTCTTAATCCCATGTCTAGGAAATCTGTATTCAATAAAGCTGCTTTGATGTGTATCATTTTTTCAGTTCAGGACTTCTAATTCCATTTTCCACATTCCCTGTCACTGAATTGTTCTGCGCAGCCCTCACCGCACAGCATGGTTAGCATGGAATTATTATTCTCTTTCAGAAGACCACACAGGATGTGCTTTTTCTGCTCCCAACTCCTCCCCTCCAAGGGAAAAAAAGAGAAAACTTTTAAGCGGTGCCATGAGCTGGCAAACGAAGGGAAACCTCTCATTCCTGAGCTCCAGTGTTACAGGCGTTCATCCACAGCACCCATTTACCACGGTTTGAAGGATCAGCCTCAGCAGAACAAAGCACTTAACTATTCACATCCTGCTTTCTCAAATCTAGCTCAGATAGGCAGGAAGAGCCCCCCCAGCTCACATGTAAAGCAGCTAATTGGGTGAATGGAATCCAAGGCACAGAGTAAGCAACTTGGCAGCAGTCTGGCCCTGCTCTAGCAGTGCTATTGTGACTGCGAACAAAACTCACCTCGTAAAGCTGGCAGATTTTATGTCATGATGGGATTTCTTAAGTGGGCTTTAAAAAGACGCAGATGAATCAAATGCACCCAAAGAATGACAGTTATTTCCCGCAAAACAGCCTTACACTTGCATATTCTTTCATTGCTAGCACTTGTTTCAAAGACAAAAACGGATGCACTGAGCAAAAATGAGTGGTTGGCTACTAGGGACAGCATCAGCATGATAACTACCTGAGAGCTTTAAGGCTGTGTGGCTATAGGCAAGCAGCAGTGGGTGCCTCATTGCCATTCACAAAGAGCTCAGCCCAGGGAGCTGCACGTACAGCACACAGCCCCATAGAATGGTTTCTGGCTGAGGAATGTACTTTGAGAACAAAAATCTCACATACAATATGCGTGGGAAAGGCAGCCA